CAGGATGGCTTTTCATCTGCTTCGTTTTTAAAACCCTTAAATCACCTGGAGAGGACAGCACCGGTGTAAGATGAGGGAGAGAGGGCCATGAGTACAGTGGGATTTTATAAACCCATCCTAAAAATCTAAATCATAACTTGCAATATATTACTATTGTTCTTAGCTTGATCTTTCTTTGCTCAGGGATGTTGCTGCGAGTGCTGGTGTCTGTTCTGGGAGACGAGAGCCGGGCCAGACGCACGCCCCGGGGTGAGGCAGGGACAGGAAGGCAAATCCATGTTTTGCATTTGTGTAACTCCCATTCACGGCTGTACACGGTGTTTGCAAGTGTTACAGCACATGGCAGGCGTACGCTACGAGGAAATACTGCTGGTGCCCAGAATAGAAAGATTTTAGCTCAGTATTGACTGAATCAAGAGATGTAGAGAGCTGATTGCAGTTTGCGTCTTTTGCTTCCTCAGAGGTCAGTGGAGCTGGAGTCTGGAGCATCCTCAGCCTGGCAGGGTTTGCAAATAGCTGCAGTGAACATAGGGGAAAGCAATCTGGTGTTCACTTTTTAATCTTTTTGCAGCCAACCAGATAAATGGAAATATAGGGTGACCTGTCGGAAGTTAAGTGTTTTATTTGCAACCTTTTTTGTAATGACCTTTTAAAAGGAAAAGCTGCTGCTTATCTGGAATTAGTGAAAATGCCTTCCCTGTTACTAACGACACCTCTTAGGCTGGAGGGAACTGCTGGCAGCATGTTCTGATGGTTCTAAACATGTGGCATTCCTTGGAATCAAAGCAGCATTTTTCTCTTCTCAAGAGAAAAATCTCATTTTAAAGAGATGCCCTGAGCTGGCTGGGCTCAGGGTATTTTCTAGGTGTCCATGCTTTTTCTGGGTGGGGAGCTGAGGCATGGGGTATACAGGCCTGGGTAACGCTGGCATTTGAAAATGGAAATCCCTCCATTGATTTAGAGGGAGAACTCCCCTTCTCATTATAGGTAATAGAAGAGTAATAGACTTTTTTCAGATGTTCCTTGTTGAGTGCTCACCCCAGCAGAAACCCTGTAAGCATGGGCTGGCTTGGACCTGTGCCTCAAATGTGTGCTTGGACCACTGCTGGAGGACTTTTGGGAGGGGATGTTACAGCCATGCTGGTTTGCTCTTTGCTTTGACGCCTAAACAGTTTTTAACAATGTAAAGCCTTGTGAATTATAAATCAAAAAAAAAAGCTTTGTGGTGCACAGAATGAAATGCGATGATTAATATTTAAGAGAAAATAAGTTAAAGATTTTTAACTATAAGGGCAAGAGTCTGTCCACAGAGTCTTTTCCTGTGAAGGCTGGAAGAGAGGGAGAACCACATTTCCAGGGACTCCAGTGCCTCAGTTTGTGCCTGAGCTGTTGACATGCAGGGGCCATGCTGGCCTCCACCGCCTGCCCCTCGCTCTTACACCCACCTCACTCAAAACCCTGGTGCCGCCTTTTGGGATGGGAGTGGTGCACAACCCCTACCATGCTTTAGCAGGCACAGAGACATGCTCAGAGCAGCTCAGGTTATGCGCTCGCTGCAGGCAGATCTTTCCCAAAACCCAGACCAAGACTTACTCAGCCCCTACCCCAGCTCCTCCTCGCCCTCCCCTCGGCGTGAGGCACCATCCCAGCTCTCAGACCGACCTCCTGTCTGCGCAGCACTGGGATGGGCAGACACATTCATCCCCATTTTGCAGACCAGGAGACAGAGAGCTCAAGGCAGCAGCCACCATTGCCACTCTGAGCCAGAACGCTGCCTCTGGCCACCTTCAAGCAGAGTCTATTATGTCAAATAAGGAAGGAAACACTTACATGGGTGCAGAATCTCTCCGGCGGGTCCCCGCAGGTGATTCCTGCCGGATCCACCCGTACTGTCACATAATCCTTCATCCGCATGGCCTTGGGCTGGCAGGCGTAAAACTCCCATGAGGGGCCATCGTCTGTGGTCACCCAGGACTTGCAAATGTCATACTGTCCCATGGCCAAGGGGAGACAGTGCAAGAGGAGAGCAACCAGGTAGAGCATGGCAGCTGCGGCCAAGCGCGGCGTCCCTGGGCGAGGGCAGTGCCGAGAGTCCTGAGGAAGGCAGCTACTGGGCTAGGGGTTGCTCTCGGGATCAGCATGGAAACTCCTCATCTAAAAATGATCCAGTTGAAGGAGATCCAGATGGTAACAGGAATGATCCCACTCTGCACGCCGTGTTAGGATGTGGAAAGTTTCTCTCTGCACAGAAGCCAACTTTGCAAATCACTCAATAGAGAAAGTTTTGGCCGGAGTTGCTGATCAGTGGTCAAAAGTCTTCCTTAACCTCATTCCCTCCCCCCTTTTATTGTACAAAAGGGCTTCCAAATCAGCATGAAAATATCTAGAGGTGACTCCAGTCAATCAATAGAAAGATCAAGTTCTGAGTCGCTGATGAAATTTGATAGGAGTAAATTGGAGAGGCTGTGAGGTGGTGCTGGATCAGGGTTTCCTCAACTTTCTTGTCTGCTGCAAATGCGTCGCTGTGCAAAGTGGCTTAAACTGTGGTCTGCCTTCAATAAGTGTTAATACATATAATAAATAGAGCATCGGGTCATCAGTACAGGTCTGACAAGGGAGACTCTTTGGAGCTAGAATTCCTTTCACCCGAAGGACGGTTGCGTCAACGTAAACACGTTGGGTGGCAAGATCCGCAGAGGTCCCAGCAGGACATTGGGTGGCCGGGGGGTTGTCAGGAGCAGCCTAGCTTCGTGGCTTCCTCCTCCACGGTGGCGAGGTGCTCGCAGGCAAGGATTTCTGTCGGGCTCTGCCTTTTGGCAACCGAGCATCAAACTCTCAAAGCCTTCAGCTGCAAGCCATGCTGCTACCTGAGGTCTCCTCTCTCTCTCTCATGGTAAGGGCAGAAGGAGAGTTCATTAGCAGGCTCTACCTGCAACAAATTGAAAGACAAATTAGCTGGGAGTAAGAAGGAGGGGGGCAGTTGGAACAACAAGACTTGTAAGAACAGGGGTTCCCAGGAGACCAAGCCCTCAGCTGGGCTTGCCGAGCCACAAGCCAGGTTTTTGTAAAAGAGAGATATACAACTTTAATAAAAAGAAATCCATAGTAAGATGGTTATGGCTTTTCTGCTATTTGGGAGATGGGATGGAGCACTGCCCCATTTAAGGTATCTGGTTTGTAACAGCAGCTGGGCAACAAGAGCTCTAATGGGTCTTCAAATAATATCAAGCAGCAGCTCTAGGTCATTAGGAGATGGAGAATATGCAGACACAGAGGAGGGACAGACAGACAAATTGACAGTCTTAAAAAGATAAGCAAATAAATAAGAAAGCTGGGGAGACAGATACATTGTCCAGTATCCCCACATATGATTTATCCAAACAATAACATTTAATAAAAAACAATTTAAAGTCCTAATAACATTTAAGGTTCACCTAATACAAAGAGCAATGACCTTCCCAGTATTCATTTCAGGTTAGAGAAAGATTTCTGCAATTTTGTCGTCCTTCCAGCAGAGCCATAAAAATCTTAAGTAATTACAAACCAAAATGACAAAGAACTGGTAGGAAAAAAAAAGAAAGTAGTAGTCAAACCCTCTTTCAGCATTAGATCCAGGAGAGAGAACTCATACAAGAAGGTGCGAGGCACTCATCCAGAACAGAAATTTAGCTTTGGATAATTCCCTTTCTATTTGATTCCCCACTTTTCTTTCACAATTTAGGGATGCCTGCTTCAACAACATGTTTAGTATTTCTCATAAAGCTCAGTTACTAAAGCTCAGAAACTCCAGGTTAACGGATGCATTGATCCATGTTCAGGGGCTTCATGTTGCTGTGCTACCATCTCCCTTTCCCCCCTTTTGGGTTGAAAGATTGCTGATTGAGATGAATGAGTTCAGAAAAGAGAAGCTATCCCTCATGCTTCATTGCCAGCTCTCAAAGAAGTGCCTGTTATAGCTGTGTTGGACCTGAATAAACTCCCAAAGAAAGAATAGACTGGCTGCTATTTTTACATTATGAGTAAATGTAGTAAAAATAATAAACCGGTGTGACACAGTGTTTGTAAGTCCTGCTGACATCAGAGCTGTCTTTTCAGTTATAACAAGTCAGTTCCTAATTATTACATCAAACTGGTCACAGCCAAGTGCCTAACAACAGCAGAGAGCGTGAAACTCCGGGATTGTATAGAAAACAAGCAGGGTAATTTTAATGAGGACTCCAGCGCTGTTGAGTTTATGGATCTATTTTCATAGCCTTAACAATTATATTTTTCACTTGAGTGGCTGTCAGGGGAAAAAAGGGGACAAAAGGGTTTATAATATCTATTAGTGTCTTGTTATGCTGGTTAAATGTCATAGATTCCCAGGGAAACAAAAAATTGCTGGAAAATGTAATTTCTGTCAGTCAATCAGCCAGGCGTGCGGGTTCCCCGCGAAGTCTGCGGCGCAACACTTAGCCCGTACAGTCCCTCTGCAGAAATAGTTGCCCAGTGTTGCTCTGAAATCAGGCAGCATACTGCAAACGGGGGAGGGAGCCTCTCCCAGTTAAAGGTTTTGCCCTGCTTGATTTGGTTTGATTCTTAGAAAATAAATCTTCACCCGGTATTATTAAGAAACTGCACTTCATGGGAACAAATAGAATCAATGCTCTTTGTTTGCTTTGAAGAGTACTCGGCAATCACTGGGGACTGATAGCCAGAGTATTAAACCCACGAAATTAGATTGTGTCTTGCCTTAGCTGGCTCCTTTTTTTATTATTATTATTGGATTAGCACCCTATTGAAATAAAGGGACAACGCTGAGCAACAACTGAGCTGCTCCGGAATTAAGAACAGAAAGTAAACTCAATGAAGGAGTTTCCAATTTTCTTTCCCAAGTGTCGTCTTCAAAACAAACCCCAACCGCCCTTCCCACCCCCCAGCCTCCCCCTCACGGATCCAGCGCGAGTTTTCCCTCTTCTTTTCCACGCCGATCATCCCTTAAAAGCAAAGTTAGGAAACACCAACTAACGGCCGCGATGTGCCGGGAGCCCCGAATCCTTCGCAAAGCTCCAAGCGGCGCCGGGCTGCTCCCCCCGCCAGGAAAACCCGCAAATCTCTCTCGCATCCCGCCGCTCTCACCAACGCATTTGCGGTTCCAGGCGAACCGATGCCGCTTCACTCCCCTGCCAGCCCCGGCGTGTGGGTTTTGTTTTGGTTTTTTTTCTTACAGTAAAGGACTTTCTGGGACTGCCAAGGCTGTGTTAAGAGAGGGAGTAGCCCCCGCTCCCGTCCTC